TCTGATAATGAGGATAGTGCGTCCTTTGTAGCACTTCCAGATCATTATCCTCGTAGCCATGGTCCATATGTGACTTCAGAGCGAACCAAAAACAGGTCGTCAAATTTGAATTGGTTTTGGAAACACTTGTGAAAACCTTGTCAGACGACCAATTCCCTTGAACCATGATATCTTGGGTTGATACGCCAGCGATGGCTGCCAAGGTTGATCCTATAGCGCGTGGCTTTGGAGGAGGCCGTTTCGACGGAAGATTTGGAATTCGACGTGTGATTTCATTCATAAAAGTGCCTATGGTACTGACCCTAAGGACTTTAGACTTGTCTTTCACAAACGCATAAGAGGATTGAATTTATAATCCTGATCTTTGTGGTGCTCGATTTCGAGAGGTGTGTCCGCTATCCGTCTGGTGTATTCTGTATAGGCCTCGACTGGGCAAATTTTCTTGTCGTTAGGGTGTCTACCTACGAAGATCGACTTTATGATGCGCTGCCCATCGCGTCGCTCCTTAGGGAAGACTATGGTAAGGAGAAGACCCTTTTCATTGGTCTCTGACTTTGACACATCGATGCAACCGATATCATCTGGCCGGAGAAACGCACAAACGCCTAAGAGCCAGCAGAGCTTGCGAGAGAGCTTAGGCATATCAAGATCCACATTGTCCTCCATGCGGAAGTATGAAAGGATGGGTGAAATGTCGAGTGCGGATACGTGCTCCATTTGAAATACGCCAGTACTTTCATTGCTGCCATGAACCGCTGAAAGTAGATATTGCCTGTGATCACGGATGTGTCGTCGTAAAGCTTTAAGATGGCTGATTTTTTGTTAAGAGTGGTATTCCTACTCCAAGAATAGATAATCCGCGCATGGCATAAATAGTTAACTACAGCAATTGCATTTGGCGTACTAGGGTCGAAGCCTTCTTGTTGAGCCCATACTGCGAAAGCCTCTTGAGTTGGCAGATATTGTCGACGTGTTTTGCTGTTGGCACCTGCTGAATCTAGTAGAGTGATAGCGGATGGTGAGAGTCCTGCATCTAGATCTTTACGTCGCCTCTTATTCTCCATGCTGTCAATGACCAGAGTGGATTCTTGCTGAGGAGATCGCTTGCGCTTCCGACGGCTGGTAGGACTGCTTCCCGAGGGATCGGGATTGGTGGTGCTACTGCCATCTCCTTGATGGTTGGGAACCATATTGCACTCGGCCACCATGGGGTTATTACTGTTGCTGTCAGTTTCTGGGTCTGTATCCTCTCCAAGATGATTGATAGAAGATTCCATGGGGGGCAAATGTAAAGGTTGCCCATCTCTGTCCAGTTGTGTTGAAGGGCGTCTATCTTCAGAGCATCTGGATGGAATTTCCATGAGACAAATGTCGGTAGCTGTTTGTTCTGTGCCGACGCAAATAGGTCCACCTGATGTGGCCCCCATTGGTGTTCCAGTTGTTGAAAGAATGGGCGACTGATCCTCCATTCCAATTGCGATATCATTCGCCGTGACGGTGCATCCGCTGGGTTGAATGCAGATGGGATGTATGTCGTCCGAAGTCGAGTCCCCGTTGCTAGGCAGTGACGCCATAACGTGTCCGCTAGTCTCATTAGTTCCGGAGACCTCGTCCCTCCGAACCTGTTGATGTGTGCAATCGTTGTCGTGTTGTCGCATATGATGTTGATCATTTTGCCCTGTGTTATTGGTAGTTGAACAGCTCGAAGAACTGTCTGTAGTTCCTTCCAGTTGATGTGGTGGTCTTTCTCTTGTGGAGTCCATTTGCCACTCCATGTTTGATTGTTGATCACGATCCCCCATCCGGTGTCCGATGCATCCGTGTATATGTCCATTTGTGTCTGTTGTTGAATCCATGACAGACCATTCCATGACGTCAATTGCTCCTTCCACCATTGAAGGTTCTCCTTGGCTGGTTCCGTGAGGGTGACCGTGTCCGACCAAGAAGCTCCCTTGGCTTTTAGTGCTGTGTTCTTGAGGTGAAGCAGATTCCGTGTCATGAATCGCGCTGGGAACACTGCCATAGATGTTGCCATTGCTTTCCCGACGAACGAAGAAAGTTCCCTTAAAGAAGTGGCGCCTTTTCGTAGTAGCTTTCCTGCCTCGCGCCGTATGTCCCTGACTTTGGATTTCGGAACTGTGACAGTCATATCCCGGGAGTTGATGGTGAAGCCTAAATGGTCTATTTTCTGTGACGGGATCAACGTAGACTTGGCTTCCTTGATGAGGAATCCTAGCGCTGCCAACTTGTCTTGCACTAGTTGAGTGAACTGGATTGATTGTTCTTTGTTCTTGGCTAGGATTATCAAATCGTCTAGGTACGCTGATATGCGAATTCCTCGTCGTCGTGCCCATTTGAGGAAAGGCTTGAGAACTTTGGTGAACACTAGCGGAGAGAGTGAGAGCCCGAAGGGAAGTGTACGGAATTGAAATTTCCGGTTCTTCCATTGGAACTGTAGATAATGACGATAATCTGGATGGATTAGTACGTGAAGAAATGCGTCTGATAGGTCGATGCTTGTCATAAAGTCGTTCTTCTGTAACATTGCGCATACTGTCGTCATCGTCTCCATTTTGAAGTGCCGCTCTGAGACGTAGGCATTCAACGGTCTTAGATTTAAGACTGGACGAATGTCCCCGGTTTTCTTGGGGATAGTGAATATTCGGCTCTTGAAACCAGGGCCCGAAGCGACCTCTATTGCTCTTTTGGCTAAGAGTGCGATTACCTCTTGATCGATCGCCTTCTCTTCCTCCGCTGCTACTCGAGCTTGGTACGCTGTTGAACTGGATATCGGTGGCCGTTTGTGGAAAGGGATTTTGAATCCCTCGGAGACGACCGACTTGACCCATTCGTTGTCGGTTATAGAACCCATCTGTAAATCTGTAAACGGCCACCTACTGCTGGCCTGCAGTCTGTGCCTGACTTGTCTGGTTGGATTGAGGGGTTTGGTAGCCTCGGCCTCGGCCTCGTCCCCCTCTCCTTGGATTTTGGCCTCGCCCAAAAAAAGAACCATTGTCATTTTGATAGTGGGCGGTCTGAGTTTGACCCGATGGATGAGATTGGCTAGAATTAGAAGTGGGTCTGTAAGTATTTGCGCTAAAGAAACTCCGGTTTTGAGTCCTCCTGTTGTATGCCCGTTGTCTTGTCGGGTTAGTAGCCTGACGAACACTCTTTGCCAATTTGCTGGCTTCAATGAAGTCTGAAGTAGAGACAATTGGTGGATCAAACTGTGTCCTTGGTGACTGAAATTTTGTGCGCTTGGTAAACAAGGTCCTCTCTGTCGCTTGACATTTGCTGTGCCAGGTGTGCAATATGTTCACGCATTGTCTGTGCGAGCTGTAAACACGCTTGTGCGACCGCAGGGTCAACTTCGTAGGAAAACATTTCCGTGGCAAATTGATCAAGTGGTCTTGTAAGGTTTGCCAATCGTGATTGATAGCGTGAGATTGTTTTGTCCATGGAACTGTGGTGAGAGGAAGAGTCGGGCCAGTCAATGAGTGCCGATTTGGGTGCAGAATAGGTTTGGGTTGTGTTTTTGGCAAAAGACTGCATCTCTTTAGCCATTTCTGTTGCATATGCAAGATCGTCTGCACGGTTTCCAGATTTATGTTTGAAAAAATCTTTCCCGTCCATTGCTGGGTAGTGGACGAGAATGGAGTCGTCAGGTGTAATTTCGTAAGCTGGTTCTTTTGGAACCAAGTAGGGGTTCGATCGACTGGATTCAGAGCTAGTCGAGAGAGCTTCAAGCCGGCTGGTGAGTGTAGCCAGCTGGCTCTGGAGAGAGTGTATAATTGGATCAGAAGTGTCATACTCGCTCATTTGGAACTTCAATACGCTGGATGTGTTCCTGAGCGAGAAAAAAGAAGATAGAGAGTAGATCAGAGCGAACGCTAGATTTTATTTATTTTATTTTTAGTTTTCTCGGTCAGAAGGAATAAAAAGAGGTCACACATATGGACCATGGCTACGAGGGATAATTGACAAAGTTTCAGTACGAATAGGAGCACTGCTTCTGTCTGCAAATTCCCAGAAGATATCTCTGAATCTTGTTCCAATTTGCGCTGCGCTTTTTTCTGTCAAGCACCTTGCAACTGTCTCTTCCTTTTATTCAAGTAAACCATTTTATTTCGATATTTTGCGATGTGTAAAGGAAGAAAGGATATTTTTTAAAGGTATACATGTAGAGAAATGAGCTTTTTTTTTGGAAGAGAGTGAAGATGAACACCAAAATGGCGGCCATGAGTGCTTCATAAACAATGTGACTGCGGTGATGTGAAAACGCAACAAATTAAGGTTTTTTCCCAAATTTTTTCGCGACTAGATGCGGGACACTATAGCCTTAATAACAGCGTCCTTACGACTGTCGAGAGTCCTTTGGGTTGTCAAAGTGAAACGAGCAATGGCAATTTTAAACAGTTTTTCGAACGTGTCTTGCGACAAAGGCCCGACATCAACGACATAATCTGAATTCCTGAGGACGGACCTTTCAAACTTTTGCAGTGCTCGTGAACACAACACACGCTCCACTATTTACACCACTCGTCCAAGTGTTGAAGCAACCCAGAGAACGCAGGACAGGAAGCCTACTTGTTGCTGAAGGTACGTTGTCGGGAAACAAAGCACCATGCTCATCGACAATGAAGAGAGTCTTTTTCCCTTGTTGTTGGAGTAAGTCTCCTAATATGTACTCGGCAATAGCTTCCACACTCCCACAATTTGCCATGGTGGAGAGCTCTTTTGCAGTCAAGATATCCTTATTGAGATCTAGGAAGCGTTGACAAATCACTCTTGATGCCCTCACATTCTCCTGACAATCAGCAAGGGTATTTGCGTCAGCGATGTAAAGAACTGGCCAGCCGTGAGCATATGCCTTAGCGGCAAGAAACCATGTTATATAGGACTTCCCGACCCCTTTGGGTCCAGTCAAACATTTTGCAAACCCCAAACCAGTCTCTTTCTTCATCTCTTCCCATAATTCCATCATCTGCTCGGTAAACAAGGAGACCTTGAATACCTGTTCCAAAGCCTATTGGGCGTTGACCAAGACTTTCTGTCTCAACTTGATCGCCAACCCTGACATTCTTCAGTGATGAGAAGCTCAAGCGACTTTTCGGCTGGCACCAGGTACTATTGAGCATGTCTGTCATGAGCTTGGGCAAATATACTGTCTCCCCATTGGCTAAAGTATACAACGGTCCTTCGGGTATCGAGGGACGACGGCGTTTCGAATAGCGCCCTTTGAGCATATAAGAATAGTGGGATGGCGTGAGTATGTAATAAATAAACGAGCATCCTCAAGTATCATCAAAACCATAAATATAGTCGGAGTGATCAACTCACCTCTTGAACTCTCGTCTCCTACGTCTTCTAGGTCCCTTTTTGGGCATCTCGGGGCTGTTTAATACCCATAGAATAATAAACAAGAGGATAGTTAGATATGGGGCTTTGATAAAAGCTATGATGATGTAATACACTATCCAATGGTCATGTTGCCACATGCTTCATCAACTGAAAATATCAAAAACCAGTCCGTCGAGAGTGCAATTCGCGAATTGAAAATTCTAATAATCATTTGATCAAACCAGCACCTACAGCTGATGGACGTAAATGAACCCGAACCACGAACAAAAAAAAAAAAAAAAAAAAAAAAAAACAACGCTGTGAAAGGACGAAAAAAATAGCAGTGGGAGTCTGAGGATGTGTACGGCCATGGGGGAGACTTTTTAAATTCTTTTATAGAGAAGAAATCCAAAGTCGCCCCAGTTAAATAGTTAAGCCGAGATACATCTCAACAACATAAAAAAGAGAGGAGATACCACATGACCGTGTTGGGACAGGAATAAGTTTCATCAGTTGAAAACATAATCATCAGTTCACCAAGAGCTAAATACATACCTTGCGGCGCCTGCTTGACAATAAACGGATGCCGTTCGGCTAGTCATCACGTCCAACTTAACTGAACAACCGGGAGAGATATTTACGGCAAAAGATCTTGCTTTCCTCTCAGCAATGCAATGTATTGTTAGCTTGGCTGGCTCGGGATTTTGGGCTCGTGCTTGGTTGGCTTGGGGATTTTGGGCTCATTAGTGCTTGAAGACCCTTCGTTCGCTTCTCCTTTTCTTTCTTCTTTCTTTCCATACGGTTTATTTTGAGTATTTGGAAGTAGTGATGATATTTCGCTGTTTTCCATTGTGATCTCGAAACTGGTTAAAAACAAAGGAAAATGGACAGAGAGCAGAGAATAGGGATATTAGATAGGAATGCTAAAGGATGTTAATTGTAGTAGCAGGATGGTTCAAAGTTTTGAAGTTGTGATAGAGGAAAGAAAATAAAAAGTTGTATGCGCGAAGCAGGGACGAGGTTTTATGTCACCATGATAATATATTGTTTCAGTCTCGCCACCAGGTCACCAGTCCGAGGTTGAAGCTCACGTGAGGACAAACGCGTATTGCAATTTGTGACCAATCTTAGGTTGATTGCTTAGTAAAAAATAAAATAAAATAGCTTACTCGCAACACAAAGAATTGTTTAAACTTACATAGTTATATGTATGTGGAAGCTTGATAGAGTGTTGCCTTGCTTCGTAATCAAATCTAGACCAAGGAGGATTATCGAGACCCCACGCACAGCCCTTCAAAGCATCCCTCAAATATAGATCAGCTCCCGAGCCTGCTCCCCAGTCAGATACAAGGATGTTCCGAATGCTTCAATGTTAACACCGACTACCGACTTCTTGCTGAGGTTTTCATTTGCCTAGCCCCGCTTGTTGACTCTGGGGATAGAGATGATGTCGGACTTAAATCAGTACCTTTGCTGCCGCCTACTGATTTTTGTATAAAATTGCTGGTGGCGGCACAAGGGGTTTAGGAGGGGTGCGATTGGAGTGTATAATATGAAGTGAGAAATAGCCAGCAGGCTTCAAGTACTCGTTTTCAATAAATATCCGACATAGCAATCGATAAAGCTTTTTTAATAAAAGAGCTCTTGGGATCATCCTCGCCAATTCAAATGCAGAGTATAAATTGACTAGTGAATACATTGTGGTGAGCACGACCCACACCCAGCCGCGCTTGTGGTGGTCCGGTACGGACATGGAGGGGATTTGATGAAAGTATATTTGTGTAAGTGATATGAAATCAACGCCTGATTTGCCTCGTCTACTTTCTTTTTTCTGCAACTTGGCAGATTCAGTAGACTGCAAGTAGCGAATTTGTCGTATTCTTCCTCCTGACCATCTTTATAGTTAGATCCCCTTTGATGGCCAGTTCTTTGATTAATATTCAAAAATAACGGGAATCGAATCTTGAACGCTTTTTAAACAGAACCCCACTAAACACAACAAACACTTTAAGCGGTGCATTCCATCAAGTCTACAGCCAATGAGCAAAGGCATTACATCGGCCTTGCTTGAGAAAAATACTGAGACCATGTAGTTGTGAATGCAACTAACCAACTAAACACATAAGCCGCTAAGCCATGCTTTCCAATGAAAAAGAGCGATGCACCGGTGTTGTTCTCCCCTCCAAAAAAAATAGGAGCAGCATCTTCCTCGCCTTTTGCACTACCTGGTTAAGTTGCTGTAATCAGCCCAAAAGTGCAAAAGTCCACCCAAGTGGTGGACCTTATATGTGGTTTATGGAGGCCAATAGCACCAAAGCTACCCATGTTTTTTGATTGGATTGCGCCTCAGGGTCATAAATATGCCCAAACGGCAATGCTACCAGTTACTTTCGCGGAGCGACTTGCTACCAGGAACTAGTGCAGCTATTCTATTTACCCTTCTACATATTTCGCCTTCTATCGAGGAAGAGACCACAATCATAATAATCAAGGCTACCCTATCAACACTTCAGACCAAACAATGTTTATTGCTAATTGTTTACTATGCTTTCACTTCTAAGCTGCATCCTACCCCAAGGATGGCCAGATATTTGAGCCTTTGGAAGTAAGTAGCTTTGATATGTGTGGATTATTGTGTGCTTGCTGGTAGCCTTTAGTTATATGTTGATTTTTTTTTTTGTATATTTTTTTGGTGGTGCCTTGAATGATTGGCATTGGTGGCCTCTGATTGACTGACTTTGGTCGACTGGCCTTTTCGACTGTCTATGGTTGGCTTTCTTTAGTTGGCTGTCTAGAGCTGGCTGTCTAGAGCTGGCTGTCTAGAGCTGGCTGTCTTTGCTTGAACTGGCTGTGAATTGTCCGGTTTCTGTATTCCGGTCTCGACCATCGACATCGGCCATCTGGCACCCCTTCGGTTGATTTGGCTGAGACGGAGTGTATTGCTTCAATCAAACCAGCCTATGTTGCTTTGGTTGGGGGATTCACGGCTATCTTGACTAGCACTGCTCTTAGTGGTTTGATTGAGGCAGCCTGTGCTTGATATGATCAAACCGCCTTACTGTTGGCTTTAATTGAGGTTGCCTTTGGGTGATTTAGTTGAAGCCGCCTATGTCCGGTCTGGCTGCGGGCCACTATGCTTGATCGAGCGGAGGTTGCTGGATGGGACTGCCTTGTATTAACCTTAGTTGCGGAAGTCTTCGGTTGACTATGGCTTTGGCGTTGGCTTTGGCGTTGGCTTTGGCGTTGGCTTTGGCGTTGGCTTTGGCGTTGGATTTGGCATTGGCTTGACTTTTTTTTTTTTATTTTTCTTTTTCTCATCTTTTTTTGTTTTTACTCTGTGCTTCGGTTTTTATCTTTTTTTTTTTTTGTTCTTTTTTGCGTTTTGGTTATTTGCTTTTTTTTGTTCTTTGTTTTGTGTTTTAGTTATTTGCTTTTTTTTTGTTGTTGTTATTGCTGGATGCTGGGTGTTGTCTGCTGACTTCTGGCGCTTGACTATCGGCTTTCGGCCCTCGGTTGCTGTCTGCTTTCTGTTGGCCCTGCGTTCCGAGCCGCATTCGAAGCACGGTGCTTCTCGGTCTATTGTTGTGCCTCAGGACCCTCTACTCCCCTTATGAGCCTTGCTCTCACTTCTCCAAGCAGAGGTCTCATTGCAATAGTCTATCGAACGACTAGCCAATGAAGCCTTACTATGACCAGAGCACCTTTGGTTCAGACGGCAGGTAACAGGTCACACAACATGACGCCTTTACGCCATGCACTACACACTACAAGCCAGGCGCCTGGTGCAGCTTCGCTAATTGAGGTGATCTAAGAATGGCGTCAGTAACAATTGAACTATTTACTAAACACTATAGAGCTCGAGTTGCCAAGATCCCACCTAAACAGAGAGAACAAAAGCAATGGTAGAATCAAGTTAATATGCTCTTTGCTATGTATGCGCATGTATACTTACCTGAGGTGTTATCAGGCCTTGATAACACCTGATCCTGATCCTGGTCCTGATCCTGATCCTGCTGGAGGGGGGACCTCCTTGAGGGCCGAGACTCGAGCTCTATAGGCCTAGTAAAACAGGCCACTGCTACTGACTTACCATATTGGATGACCACAACTGTGTGTCATCTGTTACCTACGCGAAATCCCCAAAGGCACTCGGGTCAAAGTAAGGTCCAGAGACTAGGGCTCTCTAGAGCTACTACAATGACCCCCTTCAAGGAGTTGCGAGGCCCGGCGGAGGCTCGGCGGGCCAGAGCCCAAGCGGATGAGCCTCTAAGGGGGAGAAGCAAAAAAAAAAACACGTGTGGTTAGAATATTTGGTAATCAGAGCACAGCAGCAGAGAGTACAGACAGAAAGTCACGACATGTACTCTAAAAGAACTATACTTACAGCTCCGCTTTCGCTCCGTTTTGATAAGCACTGCAAGGGCTCATTGCAGTCTTTGGGACAATCGTCGCCGTGCGCCTAGGGCTAGTGGCCCTGTTACAGCTAGAAGGAGGAAGACAAAAAAAAAAAAAAAAAAAAAAAAAAAAAAAGAACGAAGATAGCTTTGTAAGTATGCTAAGCTTATTCATAGTAGGGACAACAGTGGATAATCACAAGCAAGACAAAACGAAGCCATGCATAAACTATATACTTACTTGATGACAGCAGCGAGGGGCACTTCTGTGGATGACCAGGTGAGGTTTTTTTTTTTGATTTTTCTGGTCTGTAGTTTGCTGTTGAGTTGCTCAGAGTGTATCCTGGTTCTGCTCTGTAACTGGCTAAGAGTTTGTATCATTTGTGGTCTAACAGTGCTGTAAAAAGAGAGAGAAAGGGAGGTAGACAGGAAGTGAAAAGTCAGAACAAGTACAGTGCAGCATAAGGTGAGAGAGTCGAGGACTTCAGTAAGGGTGAATATTTGTGAAGTGTTGCTTACCTTTCATATTGGTTGAGGAGACTGAGCTGGAAGAGAAGAGAAAAAGCGAAAGAAAAGAAAAGAAAGAAAAGAAAAGAAAAGAAAAGAAAAGTCTATTTTATATCGAAAGCACTCGCGAGTAAAAGACGAATGGA